GCTTGAGAGTCCCAGCTCACTCAATGGAACGATAGTGACTCGATTCGTATTTACAGTTTCGTTCCTCAACTTTTCTGGATAAAACCTGTAAAACTGTCAAAAAGTAAAATTTCTCTCAGAGAAAGAGAGAAAAACCAAAAATTAAGGGAACTCTTTTCAGATAAAAACTGGTCAAACTGTCAAATACACCGTATACGCCATTTTTTGTTTACATCGCCGTGTTTTTTTTTATCATTTGGCGATTTGCTTAATTATACAGCCTTTAAATGTCGTACATGTATAGGGTCTAATCGAGCGTGTTGTATGAAAGGCCCAAGGCCATCGTCAATGAACTGCTTGGACATTATCAGCGTTGCTGTAGACCTGGTAAATGCACCGGAGACTAGGGATTCACTATACACCAAATATTGAAACTGAATATTGGACTTTGCTAATGTTAAAACTAGATTCGAAAAACAGCTTCTCATAAAAATATAATTGCCATTCGGAATCAGCGTAAAACTGTAGGTCCTTCCTCTTTGTGTGACAACATCAAGGCGCACGCTTCAAATCGGAGGAGAATCTCGGCCAAACACTGAGAAATGTCTAAGCGCCAATCTATTATTTTTATTATTTCGGTACGCTCCTCCTATCGATAAGCATTTCAAGCTCTTCGTATTAGGTATTTTCTTTGCTTTCAGGGAAAACGTTTCATTTCTCTCAGTTACAGTTGATTTTCGGGCTTGCTGAAATATTTAGTCTATTTAAGTACTCCAGAATTTAGTCAGAAATAGTGAAAAGTCGTTCCCGTAATCCATATTCACAGTATCTTCAGTACTGACTAATTCCTGGAGTACTGGAACAGATTAATTAAACTGGAACAGATTAATTAACAGCAAGAGTTCGAGTCAAGTGACAGGGTTGATGGCTGTCAGTTTTAATTGCAACCTGCTTCATCAAACTCCTTGTTTTTCCAACCCAATTGCATTTGTTTCTTATGCCGACTGGTAGTTAGTAGATGTTTCAGAGAGAAGGCTAAGTTATCCTAATTTTGAAGGGATCGATGACTATTTTTTTGCCGTGTTGAGATCAGTGCTCTTGAGTACGTTCGAATAGATCAAATAAAGATTTCTGAACGCGTCCGTGGGCAAAACTAAGCAAGATGGTGAAGAATCTGGCTTTATTGTTAATTTTGTCTTGATATGACTTGACGACAAGTTTTCTACAACCATGTATCATCTAGATAAAGTACAAAAGGAGGACAAGAAAAATTTATCTACGGTTCGGCGACACGCAGAGGCTTTTAAGGGATAAAAAATTGGAAAAGAATTTTCAAATTAAGCATCAAAGAAAGAAGTCGCAGATGGAAGCAAATTATTCCTGAATAGAGGTACGTATCACATATATAGGTTGATTCAAGAACGATGCAGATCTCTGACAGTATTTATCAAAGATTTGATCTTGTTTGTTTATATAATTTTTCAAACATTTAGTATTACAGTATTTGGCAAACTTAGTCATGGAGCGATACTCACTTCAACAACGCGTAAAATTAATCCAAACGTTTTATGAAAATGGTCGATCCGCAAGAAGTGGATTTCGTGCAATGCGTGCAATCAGACTTTTTCGAAAATTATGGCGGTGAACGTTATAGTGACATGATAACAAAAAATTTTTTGTGACCTGATTTAGATGACATGGACTTGAACAATATGTGGTTTTAACAGAACGGAGCCACTTGCTACACAGCGCATTAAACAATGTCCCTGTTACGAACGAAGTTCCCAGGATGCATTATCTCACGAAAGAACGTAGTCGAATGGCCGCCGAGATCTTACGTTTGGACACCATAGGACTCCTTTCTTTGAGGCTACGTGAAAAGTACGTTCTATGACAATAAACTCTAGACAATTTCAGAGCTGATGAACGAGATCATACGCGTTGGAAATGATATGCCAGCCCGCACTATGTCAAAAAGTCATGGAAAATTTTGATATGCGCATCCAGTGTGGCCAGAGGAACGAATATTGTGTCTCATAGCTGCCGTAAGTGAAATAAAGAAAATTCGAGAAACTTTATTGTTTTTTATTTATAAATTTTCTTTTATCTCATTGAACCACCCTAATAATTTAAAAATAAATAAATCAATAATAAGCCAGTAGCACCAAATGCCGCATAAACTATTAAAATTGGCCTCTTCCGATAGGTCTAATGGAAAAGGGGCACTGAAGATGGCGCAAGGCCAAACCAAATTGGGCGGGGAATGACGAAAATTCTTTTTCTACTCATGTATTCCTGAAATAAATCTTAAATAAACAAATTGTACACCTTTGTTGTCGCTATAATATGCAATAATTACCCGATTACAACATTTTTGCTGTCCATAAGTACATAATTGCTGAAAATCCCACGCATTTAATCTGCACAGATTATGAATCATCATATGGTGGCGTTTAAGAGATTATAAGCATTATTCAATTTCATGACATACCGATGAATATACATAAGTACATATTTATGTGTGTATTTGTATTGAAATTCCATAACACTTGTGGCCCATTGCACCTTAACCCACTTACATGCACACACACGAACTTATCTATCGTAAAAGTGTTTAATATAAGTCTCAAATTGATAATGTAATATAATTATGAGCGTTATGCGTTTATTTTATTTTTACTTTGACACCTGAGTAGGATATCAACCGTTGCGATGAAAGCGGATACATACTTGCATTTGCATGTATGTATGTATGTATGTTTAGCAGCGTATGTCGTAATCAAATTAATATTAAAAATAATGGAATATAACGGTCACAAGTGACATCAAATGATTGTGATAAGAATCGTATAAAATCAAGGAATTTGAATGGGCCACCTGGTGCCGGCGTTAACGCACTACTCCCATAAGTGACCAGAAATGTACTCCCACACGTAACAATTTACGCAACTTACTTGCCGAACACAAAAAAAGTTAGTTGAAGAGTGTCTCGGGATCTTCGCTATTTCCTAAATTTTCGCAATTGTTGGCCTTTAGCAAGGTGAAAAAGTGTTGTCTCCATAATTTAAGGAGTACTTTGGACATCTGTCACCAGGGGCGCAGAAGTCTAAGTGGTAATTAGGGCTCTCTGCGAGTGGATTGAACGCTGATTGACAAATCTGTTGGCTGTCTGTTGCGATTGCAGCTTTTCAGCGTCGAGCTTTCCGGACGGGGATGATATGGAAATGCCTAAAGGTCTGGTCTCTGATATCATAATTTGAGAGTATCCAGCTCTCAGAAGGTGAAGACTTGCACGACTTGGTGAAGTGCAGCTAAAGGGCCTATAGTCAGCCATCAGCAAAAAGCCAAAGATTCAACTACAATCCGCTAAAGGAACGGCAATGTTCTGTATACATATCCTCAGACTAGTGTGTAACGATTTAACCTGATTTTGTGTTATTAAGTATATAATGCATAAAGTCTTATCGCAGTACATAAACATCTAAAATTAATATTTGTTTATAATTAGGTGGCAACCTAGCCAAGGAACGCACATACAAAAGTTCGAGCTTATTTTGGACTTTTTTCAACTAATACAGATCAGCTAACTTTTAAACTGAACTGGAAAACTATCTCGCGATACTTGGAACAATATTTTTTTCAATTGCATATAACTATCTATTTTCCTTTTTTATATGCGTGTATAGAAGGGTAGTCCTTAAAATATCAAAATCTAAATTTTTTATGGGACACCTCTTTCTTTAGTTTGCATACAAAATAAATACATCCACGAAAATATCAAAATCAGGGTTTTGAATTTTTTTTTGTTAAATGCGAAAAAATGCGACGAAATTTTTACTTGAAATCCGATAAATTTGACAATGAAACCTATTCATATAAATTCATAAACCTCTTGAGTTATAGCTGGTCAAAAGTATAAATTTTTTGCAATTTATAAAAAAATGTATTTTCTCAAACCCTGAACTGTTTTTTTTGTTAATTTTGAAATTGTAGTGAATGTCTTTACTTTATACATACGTGTAACAAAATAAAGTGGTGCCCATGATGCTGATATTATAAAGTACACCCTAATGTTTATGTATGTATGTGAACCCCCCCCCACACAAAGTCAAGCAAACACCTCGACATAGAGCAGAGTAACGTTCGCATTTAGTTTTACATTTAATCGCGCCACCTTAAAGCTAATTTCAGTGCATTTTGTATCCACTTTTGATGGCATAGATATCCCCTACAACAATTGGGTAGTTTTTGGAAAATTCGACGATAAAAACGCAATCCTATGAGCTTTGAGAACATTGGCACGCACAGGCTGGCAACTAAACGACAAACTAATCAGCAACAATATCGACAGCAATGACAGCGTTGATAGCAAAAGTGGGAAACATACTTAAAAATATACATACATACATACATATGTACATATATACATACTTATGCCTGCAGTAAAGCGGCAGTGGCACTAAAAAGTCAACGCGCTTCATTAAAAAAAAAAAAAGCGAAAGCATAGACTTTTTCAATTTCCACGCTTGCCTGTAACAAAAACGTTTGCTCCTAGTGGAGTTGGTGGCATGGCATCCGCATTCAATAGGACAGACAAACTAGCAACCCCTTTGAAACGGGTAGGCACTCAATCGCCCACCACCCCTTTCCAAGTCATAACGCATTTGGCTGGCCAACAGGTGTGACCCAACAGTGGCGACTACATTCAATCAACAGTCCCATTAGCATCGCCGTGTTATCTTTGTAAGTTCATATGTGTGTGTATGTGTATGCCATCTGTGTTCGTATATGCGTTTGTATTTGTACGTAGTAAAGTTGCAACACACAGCTATGGTCGCAGTATATAAAAGCAACGCCACTTTTGCTTTCGGTTCTCAGTTGTAGTCGACTTTTAGGCGCTTAAGCATTGTGCGCTGAATATTACATTTTTAGAAGTATTTTTAGCGGTTCACGTTTGCTACAGAGTTGAAAACTCTAATTTTTTTTTAAGTTTTAAAAAGTTACTTGCAAATTAGTGTTAGTTGTTTTTTTTTTACTTTTCGTTTGTGACAAATTTTACGTGCAACGCGTGCGGGCTGCACCAGTGAGTGCACCAAAATGTGGCTGTTAAAGCGCGACATTTAACAAGAGCACGGATTATTTGGTTTATTTCAAATTTTTCGAAATGCTTACAACGCCTGTTTGTTGCAGCCGCTGGGGAAGGGCGAACAACAGTTGCGGCTGCAGTATGTTTACTTTGTGGCCGTCAAAGTGGACGTTGTTATTGTTGGTCACTTTCCTCATGAACAAAGGTATGTACATATGTGTGTGTGTAGACTAGTAAATATGTTTATGTGGAGCCTAAAAATGCACTTAAAAGTACCTAATGGATGATGGATGAGGATTTAGCAACAATTTTGATTTTGTTGATTTTCTGATAGTTTGGCCTCACATTTTGCGTACAAATTTACAATTCGGAGAGCACTGGAGCACTTTTTAGCGATTTTGAAAGTTTTTGGTGCTTTAAAATTTGGAAGTATGAAAAAGTAAATACATATAACGGTGTACTATATTTGAGGCCTGGTTTCATACATATATGAGAAAATACATCCCGAAAATCACGGAAAGAAAATCCTGAAAGATTTCGAAAAATAAACAGAACTATTTTTAAAAACCTAAACAAGTTAAAACAAACTCGAATAAATGCCACAAAGTTCATAAAAAGGCGAAAGATCCTAAATAAAACTAAGACCGAGAAAAGTAATTTCTTCCTTAAGATTATAAAACTAAAGTTTCTCAGGACCGAAAAATTCTGGACTGTCTCGGGAAATCCTAGAAAAATCATAAAAGATTTAGATAAATCAAATCCAAGAAGGCTGAAAAAGTCCTAAAAAACGTTGAAAAAAATCTCGAAAATATCCTACATGGTTCCGAAAAAATCGCGTAAGGTCCCTAAAAATCCCGTAAAGTGAAATACGTAGAATTTCGAAGTATCTAAAAATATTTGCCTTAAAATATAAAAGCAAATTACAACCAAGCAAACAAAATAAATTTATAATTTTTCAAGTTATGCGAAAATAATATTCTACAATAGGAGTATTTTAATGGGGGTTTCGGAAGACGATACGACAAATTGTTCTCTATCTTGAAAAATTCTTAATTGTCGCGGTAAATCCTAAAAAGTAAAAACAATCCTAAGAGACTCCGAAAAATCAAACAAATATTCCGAAATGAAAAAAAATAAGTCCCAGAAAATTTCCAATAACCCCGCGAAAAATGGGGAAGAGTTCTTAAAAGTTGGGAAGCACTCTCAAAAATTAAACTCGCATTTCCCGAAAAAATTGTTGCCTTAAAAAATAAAACATAATTAAAACCACAAAAAAGGAATTTCTACCTCAAGGTTATAAAATTAAAATTTCTCACATTAAACTGATCGGACAAACAAACCAAATAAAATGTCTCAAGTATGAGAAAATAATATTGTACAATAAGAGGATCTTAATGGTATCTTCGGAAAACGGTGCGAAAAAATTTTCACTAAGTACATATATATGTATATATGTATGTTAGTGGGCCATTCCATTGTGACTGATGGGACAATTGACTCCATAACGTCATCAACTGTGAATTATTATTTACTATATCGAGCATCTAGATGCTATAGGAATATTTCTGCATCAAAAAGAAAATTTTGAAAAAAGTGTCGCTTACGTTATTTTGGCGGTTAGGGCTCGATATCATCGGAACTTATAAAACAGGGAAAGATATTTTTTAACATAAGTAGAGAGTAACTTTGAAATTCCTTTCAAAAAACAAGCAAAAAATTTCAAAATTCTTTGTAACTAATATATGAATGAATTTTCGAGCCAGATTTTGTATATTGTAAAATATAAAAAGTTACAGCTTCTTTTATTTGATTTCTTATATTTTCCAACAGATTGAGGAAATGTAGTCATTTAGCATAAGGTTACTACTGAAATATTGATAATTAAGACATTTTAAAATTTGTGTCGCTTTGCTCTCTTTTACATGGAATGATCCCAGTATCTTTTAGCGCCTTACATGCCATTTCCTCAAAGACTGGATCACAAAAGAACCGTTATGATGTACATTGACGGGTCAAAATGTTGTATGAAAAAATTGTACTATGTCTCAAGTAGCACACTGTTGTATAACTTGGTGTAAATTTACGAATTTCATAAAGTTACACCAAGTTATACACTAGTGTGCTTCTTGAGATATTTTTTAAATCCATTTATACAAAAATGGCATGTATTAAAAATTTGATTTTTAATCAAGAAGCGTCCACTTTTTGGCGGGCGTCTACTCTAGAAATTTACGGCCTTCACAATTCGTGATTCGCGAAATTTGAATATTTAATATTGCCGGAAACGAATTGAAAAATGTAATATAAATCTTCTCCAATAATAAATTGACCATGATCGCGTTACCATACATGCAAAATGCACATCTCAGGATGATATATATGTAGTTGGCTGTTAATAACGACCGTGTAAAAATGTTGCTCATACGCCCCGTACCACGAACTTTTACTAATGTCTTGCACAACGCTGTCATCACTATATGTTTGTAAAAGGCTCTAAATAACAGTTTTGAGGTTCCACATGAGAAACAAACCATTTTAAATGCAAACGCGTGCAGAGCAGTTGCAAAAATGCCACCAAATACCGTCAAAATATTATAAACATAAAATGGTATGGGCAAAAAGTCTGCGTAGATTCCACTAGTAAATAAGGAAACAATTTCCAGGTTTTTTTACTCTAAAAACAAAGCTAATATTATAGCAGGCACTTTTTCTGCACATTTTAATGACGCTGTTGTTAATATACTTTTTCCTTCATTGCGCTAATGACCGATCTGAAGATCTTTTTCATCGCTCGTTGTGTTACCTGAGCATTAGCGTTTTTCATTTGATTTATATGATTAATATCACTACAATATTTATCAACCTATAAGTTCATAATGGCTTAATATTTATAAACTATAAAAAGAAAACTAACGTTACTACTACTCGGAAGAAACATTTGTACATGTTCATACATATGTATATGTAACGGGTGATTTTTTAAGAGCTTGATAACT